AGGATTCTTACATTTGGAAGGCACCTCACATAACATTTTACCCGTTTAGCAGAACTTAACGCCCTTATACAGAGCAGGATGCGTGCTGAAGTGAAGCCAATGGTTGAGTCGGGCAGTCATGGTGGCAACTCCTTCCCCTAACCTTAGAAACTAGACGTGTTCACCGGCAAGCCCGCAAGGCCATGGAAGATCCGGGCACCACGGAATGATCACCTTACGCGTGCCTTGGGTGCTTTGACTACAGAGATAAAACCCAATGAGAAAAAACACATTAACAAAGCCAATGGCGGGTTTGTGCGAACGAAATGGCGTAACATGCGCTCCGCGTTTGCGAATGAATGCAGTGCGAGGATCGGTGCACTTGGAAACTATATGAAAGGCTGCATAGCAAATAGTGGATTCAATGTGAACCTTTAGGAACAAGCGGCGCGATGCAGATGTGTTTTAAAACAGTGTAATGTGGGGCGACGTCAAACTTGGACATGACACCAGGCAGAAAATACTTCCAGCGGGCTGAGGTCACGCATAGCCAACAGCCATCTAAGTGATCAGGGATTTATTTTCACGCTTCGCAACATGAACGTAAAATGCCAGCAGTTTACTGACTACTTCCGATTAAAATTGAATTCCTTTAAGCACCTCACTAAACGCTGGAAGCAATCGTTCTGGACGAGGATGTTGAGAAGCGAGAATACAAGACACTTACTTTCAACCAAGGCCTTGCCTTGGTTAATAATACAGAGGTTTTTTAAATGTTTACAGCGGTAATACAATTGTCGGTGATCACGAAATGATGCTCAAACTCATGATAGATTACCATCTTACGGGAAGCCGTACCACGCAAACCCAACACAACGGCCCAATTCATCACGCATTCTAGCAGCGATGTTTCAGAACCGTGGCTGTTGAGGCTAATTCGTTACATGATAATGATCTTAATTAAGTCGCCTCAGAAGTAAGGGCGGTGAGCATCTTTACAAATTCATTGCCCAATTTGTGGCAAGTTCGACTTTACATTATTAGTCCAGAGCCGCCGGGTACGAGCCGGCAGCAGGATCGAAGCCGGGCCACGGGCACGCCGAACCGTTTCACGTCAACTCGATCTATTCGACGCCTGCTTGCGTGTGGCTGAACAAAGCGTGTGGCCCCGCTGGTGCGTCAACACGAGGCCTCAATACACAATTTAGAATAGTGAAGTATTTCAAGAAGCGTACAATTCTGGGCGAAATATACGCATTTGAAAACAAAATGATCGTAGCGCATAAATAATTGAATTTTGATTCCTTTCTTTTCTGAAAGGATTACGCCTATTAGTTTTCACTGGAGCACGGCAGATTTCAAAGCGTGAGGAAAAAAGACAGCAAGCGTTAAAGTGTCACGAAAAGAGATACAGATAACGAAGAGATGCACATCTTGTTTTGACTTGTTTCCTGCTCACATTTCTCCGCCAAATTGATAGAGGTTTCCACAGCATGGCATTCTCAGCGTCGTTCACTAGACAATACCTGCGGAAAGGAAGCCTATACCGCGTTGAAGCATAACAGCTGTTGATGTTCATTCACTACGGGGTTGTACTATTACCGACCATATACCATGCGCAGATAGAAAGCTTAGCATCTTCGAAGGCTAGCCAAGCTGGTTCTCAAACACTCACTTGATCTCGAGGAAATTTGTTCACACTCCATAGCAATGGGGGAAAAATATGTCGTTTGACCGTTAACAACTAGAATACCGTCGGTGGCAGCTCCCCAATTCCTATCTGTTTTGAGCCAGGGTGGCGAAAGGAAGGTTTATGCAACAGTTTGGTCCCGATCTCACCTCCGTGCGCGGTGCGGCGCCAGCAAACCTGCCTCATGGGCCGAGCACAAACTGACATGGTTCTCTGCGAGCGATATAGCGGAGTGAAGCCTCCCTTTTTGACCCCACAGCAGTACTGACCCGCGATCCGTGTCGTTGAACAGAACAGGAACATGGCTAACCATGGGCATCACTGACATATTTGGAGGAGTGTGCGCTCGCGCGTGGAAGCCGCTTTGAAATGATCCATTACTAGGCTGAGAGCGCCGGCTCAAAGACTATGGTGACTTTATATAAATATAAAGGCTAACAACAGCTCGATAACAAGCCTTAAATAACCCGAGAACCGCCGGCGGTACAGCCCCAAAACCTCACGTGCTCTGAATCAGCAAGACGAGGGGAATATTTGTATGACACTTGGGCCCGAGCGGGCCGCCATGTGTGGCGTGGCGCGAGCAACTTGCTACATACGGTTGGCATTGGTGACGATCGACAACTCGCCACTTTCAAATTCATGGGTGCGGCTGTTTTGCCAAGTTATCAAACTTTAGTGTTTCAGGAAATACTGGTCAAACGACGTTATAGGGTATTGTCTACTCTGGCAGCACTCAACGTTCCAAGCTGGGCTTATGATCACGATCACGAGAGACGAGTGATCGCAAGTAACGTCACGACTGTCGCGTGCCACGTGCCACATGTCACGATTGCAAATATGTCAGTAGCGAGCAGACGGATGTTGTTAAAACCGGAATATACAGGAATACATTTTCGTTATGGGAAATAAATGTGTTCTGACACTATCTTTTCTGCATTGCGAGTTCTTGTGTTGCGAATAACGGACTTTTAAAATACACCAGGAAGCACTCGTTAACCGACGTTATCAAACAAGAATTGGCATACATGATAATATCAAGACGGCATTTACACTCGTGATCATGAGCGCTGTTCATAAACGTCGAGTTTTTTAAACAATTGAAGTCGTCGCTCGCTTGGTAGTTCATGAGGTGCCTCCTAAAAGTTCGATTAACTGGAACCTAGGAGCTCACATATATATTTTCGCAACCCGAACACAGCGACGACGGTGTCCATTGGCTTTACTGCCAGCATACAGTTTGCATTCGCCCATCTCCGAGTTCCGTTGTGTATGGCAGTGGGTCAGCCAGAGCTCGCCCCTGCCTGGAGAGCCCGAGCCGGGCAGTTAGCCGTAGCGCCGCACCTCGGGCACGTGCGCCCACTGACTGGCCAACTGCAGGACAAGGTCAAGGACGGCGGAGCGGGCCAACCCACTGATGCAGCAGGACACGGTGCCCCGTTTCTGATTTGTCCCGCAGGCAATCTGAGACTACTGTGTGGCCCTCGAAAATTACGTGATATTGATTGCCTTCGGTTGCTATGGAGCTGAGCGTTTGGTGGCGAGACGTTTTTAAGAGCTTGCATTAGTTGTATTATTCCTGTGAATGATTTGCACTCAAATAGCCTTTAATATCGTTGGAACGTTTTTAATGACTACATGCAAGTATGAATACGAATGCATGCAGCACGTTCCAGACCAATTTCATATTGTGAAACCTGAAATGACGCCCGAATTGCTGTTTTGCATTATCAATCGCTTAAACACCCGGGCTTCACCGAGTTGTTCCAGCTAGTCGACAACATGTGCCGTACAAAGGTGCGATTTGTCTCCCCAAACATGAGACTTTCAGCGTAGTTTTCATCCCTCGGTGCGCAAATCCCCAAATACACAGCAGGTGAAGAGTTTGGCAAGCGTCGAGCACTCGCATACGACCTATTTTGTACAGTTCCCCATCCCGCGCTGAAAGCCTTGCAGAAGATGGAAAACGCAACTTCCAATTTCTGGCGGACTCGGACAGGCGCAAAAACACGTCCGTCGCCGCCCTCCGCTCGGCGCGCGCGCCGCCGGACGGCGCGGCGCACGGACGCTGGCGTGCTGCCGCCAACTCCAAATTGAAACTCGTCCCACTGAGGATGTGTTTTGTTGCGTGCATGGCCCCCGCCAGCAGCGCGGCGCCGCGGCCCGCCGACCAAATCGGCCCAGTTAACGAGCGCCATAGCGGCGCTCACGGGCCCATTTGCCGCCCGGTACAACCGCGGCCCGCCGGTTTGGGAGGTCCGGTCCCCCGAGTGTGTGGGGAGGGGACGTGCAGCCCAATTTATTTGCCGTGGAATCGCACGGCCCGAGACCGGGTTGAAATGGGCCAGGCACCTCGACGGTTGGCGTGCTCCGGCGCCCCCACCGCCAGCCTGGGGGCGGGGGTGCAGCCGAGCGCAGCCTCGCGACCACGTCGCAGACCGCCTCGCGTCGTCACTAGCCCTCTGGCGCTTGTTTGCGTGTGGCCGGACAAAGCGCGCTGCCCGGATAATGCGTCGGGACGCGCGCCGCCGCATTCATTGCGACAGGTAGCGCACGCCTCAAACGTCGCCGAGCGGCCGGCCGAGTGATCCGGCCGACGCAGCCGCGCCACTCCACGCCTCAAACGAGCCGCTGAGCTCTCAGTCAATGCGGCCGCGCTGCGAGCGAGTGCGACACCTCTGCCGCGCTGACAGCGAAAGCGGGGTGCCATCGACGCGTCGGGAGCCATCGTGTTGTAAGACCTCCGGCGGTGGTGGAAGCGATTCACACTAACGGCCGCTTGCCTTTGCTTTGATAGTAGCACGCGATGTCGTGGTTACTGGGCATGCTTGCCGTTGTCATTCAGTATCGCTGCATTCTCAGATACAAAGAGTACAGAAAGAGTTTTAAAAATAAACTTCGAAACCATTTCTTAGGGTTCAAATGAAATGCGGAATGACATCTGTGTCAGGACACGGCCGCAAGAGGAATGCAAAACATTCATAAGAACATAAATTAAATATGGATCTTCAGCTGCTGGGATGTAAGCGACAAATTCCGCACAACATGCGCAACATATCGACCATACTGCGCAGCATTGCTCCCACTGCAAACACTTGAGTGTGTCTCCCCATTAATCACCATTTTCTCTGCGCATCGCCCTGCGTCACTGTGCACTTGACACAGACGGCCGCCCTGCCCTGTCACTCCAGCCCTTTGCTGTGCTCCGGGCCGGTGAAAGGATGGGCATCCTCAGTCCGTGACAGGACTGCACCGACCGCACACGGAGCACGCCCTACTGACCAGCCTGTCGTCTGTGACCCGACCTGCTGGGTGAGCGGTACCCACTGACCTGGCCTGGCAGGGCACCAGCCCACACTCGACGAGCCGGTCGCGTGGCCTCAGGCGGTGGTCGCAGAACTCGTCCGACACCTCCACGCCGCTTCGCCGACTCTTGCAGACAGGGCGCGCCACCTGGAACCCTGCCGGTCGCAACGCAACGCGCCGTCACACCGGGTCAGTGCGCGGTGAACATAGGCACTCGATGTCGTAACAGAGGGCCGATGGTTCGTAGAGTTCCCCCTTTGGTTGTTGGTAGAGTTTAGTTTATCCATGACCGTATTCCGCATTTGGGACTGAGCCTAGCTACTGCGCTCGCGTTTTGCTGCAATGACCGCAGCTGTTCCATTTGTTGAAAAAGTAACGCGAAAATCAAGACAGCTATCCATTGTCGTAAAGCTGGCGACAATAATTTGGGCCTTTGGCCGACTCGACATTTCGGGCACATTGCGTCAAGCGTCAAAGCAGTCCAACGATCGATGGATGTGAGATTGTTCGTGACTATGAGATCGGCTGACGCGGCTGGTCTCTATCCGAAACCAGCTACGATGGTGCCACCACGGGGCTTGTGCCGGTCTCTACCCGAAACAATCTACGATGGTGCCACGGAGCTCGTGCTAAACTCTACCCGCGACCATCTACGATGGTGCTACGGAGCTCGTGCTGGACTCTGCCCGTGATCAGCTACGATAGTGTCACGGAGCTTGTGCTGGACTCTACCCGTGATCAGCTACCATAGTGTCACGGAGCTCGTGCTGGACTCTGCCCGTGATCAGCTACGATAGTGTCACGGAGCTTGTGCTGGACTCTACCCGTGACCAGCTACGATAGTGTCACGGAGCTCGTGCTGGACTCTGCCCGTGATCAGCTACGATAGTGTCACGGAGCTTGTGCTGGACTCTACCCGTGACCAGCTACGATAGTGTCACGGAGTTCGTGCTGGACTCTGCCCGTGATCAGCTACGATAGTGTCACGGAGCTTGTGCTGGACTCTGCCCGTGATCAGCTACGATAGTGTCACGGAGCTTGTGCTGGACTCTGCCCGTGACCAACTACGATAGTGTCACGGACCTTGTAGGTGTGCAATGTGAGCATGAGCTCCTGTGCGCTAACAGGTGCAATATGCATGACTCTCGGGTGTCTTCGAACGCCACATCGATGTCTAATCAATCGCCTGTGCCACAGGCTCGCACGACCCGTCGGAGCCATGTCCCGCACCGCCAGCCCGTATCTGAAGACGTGCACCGAGCCCGGCTTGGTGACAGACACCGCTGACGGCTGACAGCTGTTAACTGAAGCTATTGGGACATGTTACGTGATGGAAGATTAGGAAGATACATATTAACCCTCGCCCTGATGGTTGATACGACGCTCACCTGTAAGGTGAGAGTCGCATCATTTGCTTTTTTGTAGTACTTCTCCAGCAAACTGTGCAATCGCGGCCAACTTTTCAGTAGTCTAAGGAGCATGTATTGCGCGTGTTTTGACACCAAAAACGTATCGCTAGCTTTTCTCGCTCCGAAGCGGCAGTGGTTTTTGGGGAGCGCTGCACGGCGACGTACGGCCGGCGCGGCCGACGGGCGGCGGCCGGCAGCCGCCGATGTCGCGGAACGCGCGGCTGGCCGGCACTGTTACAATAATGGAGCCGTATATCATAACCATGTTCTCAAAAGCATAGAAATATGCATAATTGCATCAAGCACTGAACGAGAAACACGCCCTGTTTAGGTTTTCGTCGCCGCAAAGCATGATCTCGTAGGTATAATGTTGCAAAGCTGAGTAAGTCCGATTTTCACGACAATGGACAGCTGATCTGACATAAGGGGGTCATTTGTTGACCAAACGACACAACAGCTTGCACTAATCACTCGTTGAGACCAATTCACTGGTGTTTACTGCTAAGATCTATCTTCATTATATTAAAAACATCAGGGGTCCATCTACCTACCTAGCCCTTCCCCCCAACCAGCCCATTTCTGAAAAAAATGGCGAACGAGGGCGAGGGTTAGCACAAAGAAGGCGATACTATAGCTACGGATGTGTGGCCCGATCCCATATCCTGTCAGCGCTTCGTAAATTGCATGTCGCCTGATGACAAGCAGCATCGAAACGGGGCGATTTGCATATTTATGTGATCGTTATGACAACCTTCAGCGGGCGGACGAGATTTTCGCCCAAGTTCTGCGACAGGATGAAAGTCTGCTCGATCCGTGTTCCATAAGTAAGCTAGCGAATATCTCAAACAAGTGCAAAGTTTTACACACATAAGATAGACAAAGCCACCTTGCCGATCAGTCTTAACAGGAGCACCACTGATCTTCATGTCAGCTTAATTGCCTACAATTAGCTGTATTTTAACGCATCTTGCAAATAACGTTATCAGACAGTGTCACGTCTCTAGCTCAAAGTAGCCTACTGGCGCTGAGAAACTGCGACATTTTTATGAGGCTGTTCTGATCGCTAGTGTTGCACTTGCGTCCATGAAATGTGAGCACAATGTAAAAAGATGGCTCCGCAGAATGAAGAATGCTATTCTTGAGGGCCTTTGATGGGGTCTGCACGTCTCAATGGTCAAACAATTCCCATAACGAGAGGCACGACTTGGTGCTGATCAAAGCTAGCTTGGCTTTTGGACCTAATCTCATTAACAGGTCAAACCCTCGTCGATTCCACCAAAGAAGGCGAGATGACGGTGGCCCTGGAGTGCAGTCTGGCTTCACGGTCTGTTTGCTCCAAAACATCAAATCCCAAAACCGAAAATTTAAACTGAAGAGCATCCGCAGGCCTGGACGCCTAAATACCTTCGTCCATTGTCTTCCGCACCATACTACACCAGCTTCAAATCAAAAGCTCTAGTGCAGGCCAAAGGCAGACAGTGAAAGGGACAAGGGACCCGCTTGGGACAAAAATGAAGATCTTGTGCGCCCAGTGATAGTGCAATTGCCGAAAAAGCGCACTAGAAGTGGGCGGAAGTTGTAATAAATCACCTCAACTAGTGCAATGCTCAGAAGAGCACATCCATAATGCTTTCGACCTAGCAAATGCTCCAAAATTATGTAAACCTTTCGACCTGAAAAGCAAACTGAAAAGTGCAGCTAGATATCAACCTATTGATTCGATGGCGCAATGTTAGGGCCGTTTGCGTTGGACGGCCGCGCTAATGAAATGCATTGAGTTAGAGACCACAAAATGCATTGAGCTAGGGACCACGAAATGAAGTGCAAAGAACACGCCCAGTGTATTTTGATTTTGAAGAAAACATTTCGAATACGAACTATGAAATCAAATTGAACCAGCTCTTATTGCATTCCCAACCTACCAGAACACTGCTATGCTCTGTTATGCTCTGTTATGCTGTGTTCCCGGAGCGTCGACTGCAAACACACCACAACACATTTCTGAATTTCCGGACCAATCCATTTCCGGGCGGGTCGGCCGAGGTGCGCCCGACCCCCGAACAGCCGCGGCCGAAGCTGCCGCCCGGCTGCTGCTGCTGCTGCCGCCTCGCCTTCTTTGGTCCAGCTTCCGCGCGCCGCTGACCGGCTCCTGAGAGCCCGCGGCGGCGGAGGGTGGCGCGGCCGCGCGCTGTTTTTGCCGCCGCCGACCCGGCCGTGAATCGCTCGCGGCGCCACCGGGCTCGTCCGGCTGTCAGGCGCGCGTGGACGGCATAAAACACTGCCGTCCGAGCGGCGGACGCGTAAAACGCTGCCGTCCGAGCGGCGGGCACTTGGCGGCCGGCGAGCGGTCGGCGCAGTCCGCGCTCAATCTTCATAAAGCGCGGTCGCCGCCGGCGCCGCGCTCGCCGCCCTGATTACCGCCGAATCCAGGTGAAGTGATAAAGGTTTGACGGCGAGTTAGGACAACCCGGAGGGGGGGGGGGGGCATCGAGCGCCGCTGTCGGCCTCACGGAAAAGTTAGCCTGCTAGTGACCTCATCGTGCTGGGGATACGGAGGGACGGGGGACAGTGTGTACGCTAGTGACGGTTTGCGGCAATCCCTCCCACGCGAGTGTCAACACAGAAGTTGTGTCAACACTGGCTGGATCATCGTGGGTACACGCCGGGAGGCGAATGCTTGCAGGGAATCAATGCACGGGTACCCAGCAACAAGCACAGAACGAAACATAGTTCGCATCACACAACGTCAAAACAAGGATATTGCCAAAATTCCAGGATGTATTCACCTTAAGCACAAAAAAACGCATCCAACGCCATCCCAGAGAATAAAACCAAAAATCGCATACGTCCTGTAACATAATCCAGCCCACTGATTACATTCTAATTCATGACCCCACGTCCACTCTTCAGTGCTGTGTATGCGGCTAGGACCAGTCTCGTGCATTAGCAGCGGGGTCCTTTTGTGACAGGTCCAAAAGCTGACCTTCTGACCAAAAGCTGACCTTCTGACCAAAAGCTGACCTGCTTTGACCTCTGACAGGTGCGCGTGTCTGTCGCACGTCAGCACCAGTTTCGCAGCGTTGGCCTGCGGCGGCGTGGTGACAGAATCAGTGAGCGCGGTACGAATCAGGACTGCTCCTTCTCACGGACTGTGTACAGCTGCTTGCGCTTGGATGGTGAGTGGTGGCTCTGTTGCACGTTGATGATAAATAAGGCGGTACTATTAGCCTTGTCCATCACGTAAAGTATATCGCTGTTTTTGATCCGACACTGATGATTTATAACGTACCGTGAAAATCCGTGCAAACCAAACATTGTTCTCTACTTTTGCACTATACTCTGCGCCAACCTGCATAAGTTCTGGATAAACGCTTCACTTTGGTGACGTTTCCACCCCACGTCACCCTGCGCCTGGGGGCACGTATCGGGTGCGAGGCTGTGCTCACCACCCCGGGCGGGAATGCCACCCCCAGCGGTGCCGCCGCCTCCATGGTGGAGGGCGGACTCGCCAAGCACACCACAGGCGGGACCTCGCCGCGAACAGAGTGACGCTTCCCTGAGACAGTACCCGACTAGATCTGCGGCTACGCCAGCTGACAGCCACGTCGCTTACGCAAATCGTCGACTGAACGAGCCAAACTCGGCCCTGGGGAAAGGTAAGCGGCTGAAGTGGCAGGGCCGTGTTTACAGGAGCTGCAACGCGAATCCAAGCAAACAATCACGACGCCAGCTCAAAGTTCTGCTGCTGCGTTTGACATGTTGGCATAATGTAGTGCGGCGGTGAGCCAAAGAGAGCACCTGCGAGGCCGTGTTCCGCCAGAGCTCGTCACGTGTCCAGGAAGTGAGCTCTGTCACGCGGTCCGGTTCGACGTGCACCTCTGTCAGACGGTCCGGTTTGGCGTGCACCTCTGTCAGACGGTCCAGTTTGGCGTGTACATCGTGCCGGGCGGCCGCGCGCCACGACAGAGTGCGCCCGACAGGTGGCGACTGGTCGGCAGCTGGACCGCACCGCGGCTCCCCCTCGCCTAGCATGGGCAGAGACTCACCGCCCATTCCCGTGGCATGACATAAGGCAGGGACGTCGGGTGCTCTCTTCCTGGTACACTTCAAACTGGAAGCCATATCGCATCTCTACCACAGCGCATGTATACGGTCGTGTGCGTGTGTGTGTGTGGAGGGGGGGGGGGCGAGAACCTTCGCCAACCTCCTACGCCACACGTCATGGGACGGGGGTCTCTTTTTACCTCCGTCACAAGATTCAGAGCAAAGAGTCCCAGCTCGCCACCTCTTCCACCTCAGGACAGGCGCTAGGAAGTTTCTGTCTATTTCGGCTATAGAAAACATGGCACGAGCTTTCTGCTCGCCGCCGCCTCGGGACACAGAGCACGGAGTCTGCTCCTTCATCACGGGACACAGAGCACGAAGTATGCTCCCTATCACGGGACACAGAGCACGAGGTCTGCTCCCCCATCACGGGATACAGAGCACGAAGTCTGCTCCCCCATCACGGGAGACAGAGCACGAAGTCTGCTCCCCCATCACGGGACACAGAGCACGAAGTCTGCTCCCCCCATCACGGGACACCGAGCACGAAGTCTGCTCCCCGATCACGGGACACAGAGCACGAAGTTTGCTCCCCCATCACGGGACACAGAGCACGAAGTCTGCTCCCCCATCACGGGACACAGAGCACGGAGTCTGCTCGCCTCCACCACGGAACACGGAGCACGGAGTCTGCTCCTCCCCCACCACGGGACACAGAGCACGGAGTCTGCTCGCCTCCACCACAGAGGACGGAGTCTGCTCCTCCCCACCACGGGAAACAGAGCACGGAGTCTGTTCATCCCCCACCACGGAACACAGAGCACGGAGTCCGCTCCTCCCCCACCACGGGACACAGAGCACGGAGTCTTCTCGCCGCCACCGCAGGAAACAGAACGGAAAGTCTCTGCTTACCTCCGCCGCAAGACACGGAGCATGGCGCGATGATCTTCTCGACCCAGAAATGGTCGCCGGTGCCGCAGGAGGACCCGTCGCCGCCGCACACGCCGCAGACATCCACCGAGCGGTTCGAGCCGATGCGGAGGTCGCACCCCAGTGGCTGAAACACAGCGCACGCCGGGCCTATCAATAGCGGGTTTCGGCCTGAAATGCGGAATACAGAGCTGCGGCGACAACGTTTGGTTTGCGAAACGCACAAGGCTGAGGCTAGAGTCAGAGGAGTCATACAAATGAACCGCAACATATTTCAGCGATATATCGGCCAGAACTTGAGGAGCAACATCTTCCAACAGTTTACCAATTAACGCCTTTTCAAAATACGTTGATAGGATATTACCCTCACTTATGTAATGACGTTCCGCATGTTTCTGTATTACAAAGACACACGAAATTTTTCAGCATCATCTGGTAACCAGATTTGCAAGATAAACGGTCTGTCGGCTATGGTGCAGATGTGGAAACACACTTGAAAACGGCAACCAAAATGACTAAATTCAAGAAGTCATGTGAGTACAGTTATAAAGAGGAAATCCGCACAAAGCTGAAACAAAGACTGCCCCAGCTTCTCTGTCCTGGCACTACGCGTCCTAATACCGCCAGCATCTCGCATACTACTGCATACTCCCCGCATTCATTAAATCCATGCACGGCGTGCCGACGCTCGCCTGTGTATCTCACGCATTCGGGCTGTGCGCCGCGGGGAGACCCCAGCGCTAGAGCGCACCGGCCCACTAGTCCGGTTCGACAGCGTGGGACTGCTCGTCGTGCGCTCCGGCCCGCCGAGGTGATCTCTTGTTTTTGTGCCGGTGTGCGACCTGCACCGGGCAGCGGTGGGACTTTTTACACCTGAGCGCGCCCAGGCCGGCGCGCCGCTACATCTCGGCTATTGACAACGGCGGCGGCGGCGGCGGCGGCGGGCCGGGGCCGCTCGCGCCCGCCCAGAGACGGCGGCGCCCGGCGGCGGCGGCCCAGGGGTGCTGGCTGCACCCGTATTGATCCGGCGGAGCGGGCCGGATTTTGGTGGGTCCAGCCCCGGCGAGCGGCCGGCTTGGACGCCTGCCAGCGAGCCGCCGCGCCGCACCGCGCTGACGAACGCTCGCCTAGCTGACCCGTTACTGACACTCATGACTCAGTGCAATCTTGGGAAACGCAATAAATCCATGACGTCGAGTGATCACGATTTGCTGGCGTGAGGGCTTGAAGGCGTGAGGCACAGCTTCCTCGCTGGCTTTCTCACTAATCTTATTAAGCGATAAGGGTATAGATAAGTTGCACCATGCTAGTACAACCGGAATTCGAACACGACCCTCCACGTGAAATCCATTGGTTACGACATGTACCGTACAGGTACCGTACAGGTACGACAGGTACAGTCTGGACATGTACCGCGTCTCCATCATGGCAAAGCGGATCTTTGGTTTCGAGACCAACTGATATTTTGAAGGAGTCCCACAAGCTTGTAAGAGAGGTGCCCTCTGACCAGTTGGAAAAGGCGCTTCTGAAGTGAACAACACCAGAAGCGAACGGTTTGACAGCCGTCTCTGAGCAGTCAGCGACGGCCTCATGGAATCGACGGCCGACACAATGCTGACTCGAATTATTACAGAGCTGCCCTGGAATGTGACCCTCAGGGAGACAGACTTCTGCCGTTCCCAGAAGACTGTGACGACTCAATTCGTGCTCGCAATGATTCCGACAATCTGGAGGCCACAACGATCAACATCAGTTTTTCATCGCTTTATCAAAACTCGTTTTTCGTATCGAAACTGTTCGGGGCTGCATAGATTTCAGCGTGGGCTGTGGGCACCGCGAGTAAGTTCAGATTCTGTGGTTTTCATCATCTCTGTCTCATTCCACTTCATGAAAAATGGAAGGCATTAACGACAATTCTCAAATCGACATCATGACCACCATATAACATAGTCATGTTTTAGCAACCCATGCAGAGCTTTCGTGCTATATCAATACCATGGTACTGGCAAAGATTCAGGCAAGCCAGGACGGAATCACGAAGCAGCAGGGAAGAGCTCTTCCAAAGGATGTCAGGCCACTGGATCGCTTTGCCATAAGTTTGCGTTTTACGCCGCCGTAGCCGCTTGTTTGCTTGCACAGATACGTTCTAAAACAAAACCAACTTACAAC